GTTTTCACCCAAAACTTTAACATATAAACTCAAATAATTATTTTGAGAAATTAATTTATTAATTTCTGCGATGCTGACTGCAGCAACATCTTCATCAATAAATTTTTGAAATGCAGTAAAAGTAATACCTGTATTATTAGGTAAAACAAAAGATGATTGAGGAGGGTAAATGGCTTTAGTAATATTGCCACTCCCGTCTTTATAAGATCTTTCCAAAACTTTTATAAAAAGTGGTAAATATGTGGCTATAAACCAAGGAACAAAATATATAATTTGATTATGTAAAGTACAAGTTTCATAAAATTCTTGAGAAATATTGTTTAAATCCTCTTTACTATAAGTATCAAAAAACCAAGTTTTAAACCGGTTTCATTTATCACTGAAAAATTCTTTTTGAATATAACCTCTAGCTTGTGACCCTGGACTAAAATCAATTTGGTGTGGAATTATTTAAACATCATTTGGGTCAAAATCTATCTCGGACGTAGAAGGAATATCCTTATCAAAACTATTATCATTTTCCTGAACAATATTTGTTTTGGGGTTAATCTTAACCCTTTCAACAGGTTTATCACCTACTTTAGTAGAAATTGTGTGTAAAGATGCAGCACGATTTCTAGCTGGTCCATAGACTGGTTCAACAGGAGAAATGTATTGAATATCAGGCAACAGTCTACGATTGGTAAAGGAATGTCTATTATAATTAGAACTAATAGCAGGCAATAGTCTAATATTGGAAAATGACTGTCTACTATAAGTGGAACTATTATCATTAAACTGAATGCAAATCCTTCCATCCGAATTTTGAGTAATATGAGAATACTCAGTATTACTGACAGCATTAGTTATTTGATTGGGGGATATAACCGAATCCAAAGTCCATGTAGTTGAAAAATTAATTTCTTCCCACTTAATAGGTCTTCTCGTGGTAACCTTAGACTTTGTAAACTTCGTTTCCACTAATATAGTCTGATCAGATGTATCGTATAATTTACATCTGGGGTTTAACGTAGATAGCAATTTAAAATAGATTCTATACGATAAACATATAAGTTCAGAACCAGATGCATAATTATAACCATGCGTTTTCACATTTAATGTTAAAGCATCAAGTATATTAACATCAGATAGAGATAATTGCAGATTGGGTTGAGTATTGAAATATACCGGGCAGAGGCTATTCCTAATTGGTTTCTAAACTGGTGGTCATACCACGGTCCGACAGTAAATATTTTACCTGATCCTGTTAAAATGGTATCAGAGCTTAAGTATATACTATACTATATATTCGATATATTTAATAAATATATACATATCTTAAGATATATATATATAGTAAATCAAATTATATTATATATATAAGCTTATATATATATATATATATCGAATATAGCTTATATATCTTAAGATGTATATATATCTTAAGATCTACTATACTATACTATATATATCTAATATATCTAGTATACTATGTATATATAGTATATCTTAAGATATATATATAGTATATTTTAAGATGTATACTATCAAATATGGCTTATATACTATGTATATATAATATAGTATATATATATTTTAAGATGTATATATAGTATATAAATCGAATATAGCTTATATATCTTTATTACCATTTTTTTCTCTAACTTCTATTAAAAACAAAATTAAAAATAGAAAGTATCTGTTGGGCCCACTTAGGCCCGTTTAGGCCCACTTAGGCCCGGGACCGGCCCACTTAATCCGAGACCGTTAGTTCGTGGTCCCGATCCCGAGCCAGTTCCAGCAATAAGCCCGCAAAGCCCGGGACCGTTTAGGACCGGACCGCATAGGACCGGACCACTTGGGAATGACCCACTTAGGACCGGGCCCGCGAAGCCCACTTAGGACCGGGCCCGCGAAGCCCACTTAGGACCGGGCCCGGCCCACTTGCCACCCTTACACAAGCCTAACAGAAAATCAAATCGCACGATGGGGAATCAAGAAGGGAAGTGCTCCTAACAGCCTTGTAGCCTCTCGAATATAACTACAAACGTCTATGTACCGATCCGCAAGACTCAACTAAACTCGCTCATGACTCGTGAGACCTAAGTGAACCTAGTGCTCTGATACCATGTTGTCACGATCCAAAATCCATTAAAGGTCGTGATGGCACCGGACATCGCTGTCAGGCAAGCCAACACTAAATACTTAATTTGGTTCTAGTTTTAATATTTTGAAACCATATTTTTCCTTCCATTAAGCAGTAGAGGATGAAATTTACAGAGTAAATGATAATATCTTCAACAAATTTCAATACAAAACAACTCATATTCACCCCAAAACCCGGTATCACAAGTGCATGAGCATCAACTAGGAATGTAAAATAAAATACAGCATCTGTCCAGAATACAAACTTGGACAGGGGAAATATAAATACTCTGAAGGAGACTCTGCTGGCTGCGGGTCGTAATGTGGAATGCAGCTCACGTAAGTCCCTGTATGCATACACGTCTCTGCTCTCTCAAGGCCACTAGTAACATATGTACCTGCACAAAAAGAATGTGCAGCAAGTGTAGCATGAGTACGTAAGCAACGTGTACCCAGTAAGTATCTAGCCTAACCCCAGAGAAGTAGTGACGAGGGGTCGACATCGACACTCACTTGTAGTCCAACAACATAAGGTACAGTAAAAGGGTAGCAAATATGAGGCAGAGTAAATAAATGAAATAAACAAGTATAAAACACGTGATACAAATCCCCCTCTTTTCGAGGAATTCAAGCTCTTCATTAGAAATTGTAACGACACAGCCGGTCGTTTCGAGAGTTATAACCCCGTTTTCCCTATTCCTACTTCTTTTTATATTATTCAGCTATATTATGTTATATCGGGTTAGTTGGTTTGAGTCCGGAAGGAACTCGAAGTGAAATGAGACACTTAGTCTCATAATTATAAATTTTATGTTAGAAAAGTGGACCGGATATAGACCTATGTGTAAACGACCTCGGATTTGAATTTTGATGATTCCAGTAGCTCTGTATGGTGATTTTGGACTTAGGAGCGTGTCCGGAATATTATTTGGAAGTCTGTAGAGGAATTAGGCTTGAAATGCCGAAAGTTTTATTTTTGAGAAGTTTGACCGGGGGTTGACTTTTTGATATCGGGGTCGAAATCCGATTCTGAAAATTGAAATACCTCTGTTATGTCATTTAGGACTTGTGTGCAAAATTTGAGGTCAATCGGATGTGATTTGTTAGGTTCCGGAGTTGTTTATAGAAATTAGAAATTTCAAAGTTCATTAGGCTTGAATTGGGGTGTAATTCATGGTTTTAGCGTTGTTTGAGGTGATTTGAGGATTCGACTAAGTTCGTTTGATATTTTAGGACTTGTTGGTATATTTGGTTGAGGTCCCGAGGGTCTCGGGTGAGTTTCGAATGGTTAACGGATCAAAAATTAAACTAGAACAGTTGCTGCAATTTCCTTCTGTTGGAAATTGCTTTTGCCCAGAAATCGAGCCCAGNATTTTGAGCTAATTTTTGGATTTTTATGGAAAAAATCTTTATTAACTTGTGGAATTAATTCTAATGAATTTTATTGACTGAAACGAATTATTTGTGACTAGATTCGAGGCATTCGGAGGTCGATTTGCGAGGCAAAGGCACAGCAGAGTAAAAAGTTTCACGTTTTGAGGTAAGTAACGATTGTAAATCTAGTCCTGAGGGTATGAAACCCCGGATTTTTGTATCATTCTACTATTTTTAGTGATGCACATGCTAGGTGACGGGCATGTGGACGTGCACTGTTAGGGATTTGTGACTTGGTCCGTCCCGTAGCAACTGTAAAGTTGCATACTTTATTGAAACCATTGATATTTATATGTTTTAGAAATTTTTTTTAAATTAGGCTGAATGCCATGTTTGGGCCTTGCGCCAATGCTGTTTGGACCCTTAGGGGCTGTTTCTTACCATCCTCTCATTGTTTTCGATTGAAAATCTATACTCAGTCATGTTTATACTTGTTTACCGCATAACTCAGTTTTATGACTCTATTTTGATGCATATAAATATTTTGGGCCGAATGCCCTGTTTTACTGAAATGCCCAAGGGGCCTGATTTGTGAGGATGAGTGTGGATCGAGGCTTCCCGCCTGCAGCATACTTTATTATTATCGCACGTGAGTTGTTCGTGCAGATTATAGCGCTTGGGCTGAAGGAGCCTCTCCGGAGTCTGTACACACACCCCCGTGAGCGCAGGTACCTACTGAGTGCGAGTACCGAGTGCTGAGTGACTGGGAGGCAAAAGTGATTGTGAGGTATCCCCGAGTGGCAAGAGAGATCGTGAGTTATGCCCGAGTGGCAAGAGTGATTGTGAGGTATGCCCGAGTGGCACGAGTGACTTTGAGGTTTCCCCGAGGGGCTGTATATGAGTGATGTTTTGCCCGAGGGGTTGTTTATGATTTCATCATTTTTGCTCACCTTTGCATTGAGCCTTTGTTTGAAAAACTATTAGAAAAAAAAAGTCTTTAAATTATTTTTACTGGAACTGGGTTTAAATGAGATGTTTGATTCAAATCCTGATTTTTTTAAGAGTATGTGGTATTTTACTGAGATTTCCTTATATGAACGTTATATGCTTTATTGCTCGTCACTACTGCTCAGTCTTTATTTATTGTTGTTTCTTACTGAGTTGGCGTACTCACGTTACTCCCTGCACGTTGTGTGCAGATCCAGGTGTAGCTGGACACGGTAGCAGTTATTGAGTGTTCTGGTTGCAGATTTTCTTGGAGATAGCCAGGTAGCTGTTTGGTGATCGCAGCCCCTGCTC